ACGTTGAAAAAAAAATTTAAAAAAAAAAAGATAAGAAGGGGGGAAAAAAAAAGGTCGGCAGAGCCCGGAGAACGTTAAGTTCCTGACTGTGGTACTTTCTTACCCCCCTCTCTTCCAGGTCCTCATCTGAAGTGGGTGTTGAGACTCCTGTTTCCAGTGATGACGGAATAACAGAGCCAGATTTATCTTCCTGCCTTAAACAACTAGAAAACTGGGCAAAATACAGGAAACAACTTACAGATAGGGGAGGACAGGCAACGGAGAATAATGGTCTGCAGCGAGCCCTTCAAGTTTCCCAGCTCTCTGCCTAAAAAGAGTTTCCAGGCCACAGTGCAGGGAGAGGGAACCCACACGGGGCCCAGCCACCTTCCTGAACTGAGGAGACAGAATGCAGAGTTCAAGAGGGTGAAGGCGGCTAAAAAGGACCGAGCTATACAAAGGGAGAGCTTCGGAGATCCGCAGGGAGTGCCCTGGATTTGAAGGCTGAATAATGATGTGTATAGTAATCACTCAGTAGTGAGGAGACTACTCAGGACCAAGGGAACCCCCCCAAAAAATAATAAGCAGAAAAATCCCTTGAGCTCTTACAGGACTGAGGATTGTTTGTGTTCCAGCCAGACCTTATAATATAGGGCATCGTGGGAGCGCCTGGGTGGCTAAGTCGGTACAGCATCCGCCTCTCCATTTCGGTCAGGTCATGATCTCAGGATTTGTGAGTTTGAGCCCCACATCTGAGCTGACAGCACGCAGCCTGCTTGGGATTCTCTGTCTCCGTCTCTCTCTGCCCCTCTCCCACTCTCTCTCTCTCTCTCAAAAATAAATAAACATTTAAAATATATAATACAGGGCGTTGTGCGGGGTCCTCAGAAGCATATTGCCTCAATAGTGGGGTCACATTAGCCTTAGGCTCGTGGCTGCTCTGGGCCTGCCATAACAATGCTAAACAGCCAACCTCAGAAGGATCTAATCAATTCCAAGTAAATCACCTGTGCCCCAGAACAAACACCGCCCCCCAAATATTTAAAGGAATACAACAAAGTCTAGCATCTAAAAAAGTATAATCCAGAATGTCCAGAGCCAAAAAAAAATTATCATGCATGCCAACCCCCAGGAGAAAAATCGATCAAAAGAAAGATCCACAGGGGTACCTGGGTGACCCAGTTAAGCTTCAGACTGTTGATTTTGGCTGAGGCCATGATCTTGCAGCTTTTGAGTTGGAGCCCAGAGTCGGGTTCTCTACTGTCAGCTCAGAGGCCGCTTCAGATCCTCTGTCTCCCTCTCTCTTTGCCCCTCCTTCCCTAACATGCTCTCTCTCTCTCAAAAATAAATGAAACATTAAAAAAAAGAGGGGTGCCTGGGTGACTCAGTCGGTTGGGCGTCCGGCTTCAGCTCAGGTCACGATCTCGCGGTCTGTGAGTTCGAGCCCCGCGTCGGGCTCTGGGCTGACGGCTCGGAGCCTGGAGCCTGCTTCCAATTCTGTGTCTCCCTCTCTCTCTGCCCCTCCCCCGTTCATGCTCTGTCTCTCTCTGTCTCAAAAATAAATTTAAAAAAACACTTAAAAAAAAAACATTAAAAAAAGATATAAGAAAAACATCCGAACATTTTAATCTACCATATGGAGTTAACAGATTAATAGATGCTTCAAAAGAAAAGATTAGTGGATTTGGAGACATAGCAGTAGAAACTCTCTAAAATGAAAAACACACAGGACCACCTGGGTATCTCAGCATCTGACTTCGGCTCAGGTCATGATCTCACGGTTCGTGGGTTCAAGCCCCATGTTGGGCTCTGTGCTGACAGCTCAGAACCTGGAACCTGCTTGGGATTCTATGTCTCCCTCTCTGTCTGCCCCTCCCCCGCCTGCACTCTTTCAAAAATAAATAAACATTAAAAAAATTTTTTATAAATAAAATGAAACAGAGGAAAAGGACCAGAAAACACAATAAACAGAGCATTGCTGGGCTGTGGGACAATATCTAGTGACCTAACATATATGTAACTGAAGTCTCAGAAGTTGGTGGGGGGGGGAGGTGGAAAGAAAAATATTCGAAGAAATAATGGTCAACATTTTTCCAAATTTCATGAAAAGTATAAATTTATCAATCCAAGAAGTTCAATGAGCTCCAAGCAGAAGAAACCCTAAGAAAACTACACCAAAACACATCTTAATCAAAATACTAAAAACCTGTGATGGGCAGAAATCTAAAGTAGGTGGTCAAGAGTAGCCCTCTTGGAGGACTATTCAGCTTTCACAGCCTGATGTCTGCAAGTTTGGGAGCGCAAGATTTGTTTTATTTTAACAAAGACTTTTTTTAGGCCAAGGTCCCGGTGGGTTTTTCAGGAATACGCTTACTTCGGAAACTTACAAGGCATTACTTTGCTTCGGTCCAGTCCACGTGTCAGGAGCCACGCCCGGAGTTCCTTTCCAGATGAAGTCCTTTAACCTGTTTCATAACTTAGGGAATTCCTGGCCCCTGAGCTCCCCTGTTGTCAATTTAGTGGCAGCTGCCTTGAAAACCCCTGGAACAATTGGGTAAGACTGAAACGAGATCTTTGTTGGCCTGAGATGGCTTAATGAGATGCCTCTGAGACCAGGCCAGCAAGTCTTGCCTCTTGCCATTTATGCTACTGAAGCAGTTGGCTTTCCAATATCTACAGGGTCCCCAACTTTCGGGACTCTTCACTCCCTTCTTCTGCTTCAAAACCAGTAGATTCTGGTCTGAGCTCCTCTCCTTCTGGTAATACCCAGCTAAACACAGCAAGAGGCAACCACTTCACACATTCTGGCTCATTCCGACCACCTGCTCTAGAAAGTCCTGGTGCCATAGGAACTATATCTGCTCAAGTCACCACAGCAACGGTCCTACCACTGTTTTGCCAAACATCAGAGGATACGCCAGCTGGTCAGCCAGTGACACCAGTTCCTAACCTTCTGCTGTGCATCTACGAAGCCAGTGCCTATGTTTTAGGTGTTTATTTTACACAGCACTCCACTCCAAGGGACCAACTTCTGAATTAGTCAGGATATGTGAAACTAGCTTAGTAAACACATCCAAAATGCAGTAACTTGAAAGCTGTAGAAATTTATTTACCACTTCCCAAACAGTCTGGAGACACGTAGGTGAGAACATTCAAGATCTGTGGGGCCGGGGTGGGAAGGAGGGGGCTCTGCTCCACACAGTTATTAAAGGATGCAGGATGCCATCTTCAACACATGGGTGCCAAGGATGCTTTCAGTGTCACCCGGTCAGTCATCCAGAAAAGAGGAAGAGCGAGGAG